CCCAGCCCTCCTGGAGGCAGAGAGGAGTCCGGCTCCGGCCGCAGGGCAGGCGGCAACGCCAGCCCGCTGCCGCGTTCATTTCTTCTGAAGAAATTTCATTTTACTGCCTAGGGAGAAAAAACAACATTAGGAGCCGAAGACACTCCCGGAATCATCTGGAGGAGGAACATCTTAAGGTAGAAAGTCATGTGTGGCCACCTCTGCTGGCAGACAGGGCTTCTGCCCCCTTAGTGTGTTCTCGGCCAAGACCAAAGTTAAGAAAGTTTAGACAGCTCTGGATTAGGCAACTTCCACAAACTTTATCTAAAGATGCAAAAGCTTAAAAATAAACGAAAAATCTTACAAAGTGTTTGGCATCCCCTGAAGGGGCAAATGTAAACAGAAGGAACACAAGTGCACAAAGCAAAGAACCGGCCCTGCTCTCTTGCATGCAATTATTTGTTCCATAGCTACATTTATTTAAAAAAACAAAACAAAACAAAAAAAACAGCAAGGGTGTCCCTTTACCAAGACTGCGAAGGATTTTGTTCATTCCAGTTGGTTCCGTCTCTGGAATACTCTCCAAATACTCCAAGGCACGGACCTCAAACAGGCCTAAAGAGAAAAAAGGAAAAAAAAAAAAAATCACTCACCTAGATGAGCTATTCCATCTTTTAGCATGTGGCATCTTATATCATTAACAAGGAGGTTATAAAAAGGAAATCATGCATGTAATGTAAGCTGCAGGATCAAGCCCAGAAAGGAGAGAGATGCAAAAATTCTTTGCTTCATAAGATGGAATCTGTTGAGTAATTAGAAGGGCGTGGAGCTATTGCATACACCAAAATGCCAACAGGATAACTTGCCAGGACAAAAGGCTTGTTAAGAGCCAAAGTCACATGACATTATACTTTGAAAGTGAGTTTGTAAAACAAGAAAGTAAGATCAAACCTCACCTTTGACCACATTCTTACGTAGCTCTCGATCCTGTATGAACCCTGCAAACATCTGCGTTTCCATGAAGAAGTGCAAGAAATGACGCACATTGCGTGACACGTGAGATTTACGGAACAGTTCCCGCTGAAACACCCGCTCCCCTTTTTCTGTGACATTCATGTGCAGGGAGTAGTGTCCAACGATCTCCACAAAGAACTGCACAAAAGCTTCAGAGACCAGGGAGTTAAGAGGTATGTCACCTGTGAAGAGGACAACAGAGGAGAAACTTCCCTCTACATTCATCACTTTGGTCATTCCTCTTCTGAAAGAGGAGCAGCAGTTACTTTTTAGGCTGGCTGTCTCAGACAATGAAGTTTCAGATGAGTGTTTGATATCAAAGAAGCCACAGCTCAAATATTAAGATTTCTCTCCCATGTCAACTTTCTGCTGCAGCTGAGACAGGTTCCATTCTAAAGCTTTTCCAGTAGTTAAAGCATTCATAATTTCTTTTCCCCTGTCAAACATCTAGTGTCTAATAAGTTGTAAGCTCATAACAGTCTTAAGTTTAATTCTCTCAAAGAATTAGACAAATTACAGAACACAAACCCACGGGAAAACTAACTTTGTTACTTCTGATGTGCATGGAATTATGTAATTTGCCAATGCCGTTGTCTCAAGCTACTCAATGCTTTTTAAAATTCTCACACTTATTTATCTGATGGATTATGTATAAAGCAGTTCAACTTTGAAAATGATCTGTCAGATTACCCTCTAAAGTACAGAAACTTGCTACGTTCTCTGTTTAAGAAAAATGTTCTCTCTGCTACTTAAGAAAAATCAAAGAAAACTCCAAGCATGGGAACTGATACACTCGGCCCAAGCAAAACTAGAGCTCTACACATACTGATTGTGAAAAGAGGAACAATTGTTAGGACACGAAACTTCTTTCTAACACATTCACAGGAAAGATGTTCTCAGTAAGATCACAGGAAAATAGCTTCCTAAAATGTCGCTTCCTAATGTTTACTGCCATTCACTCATTTTTATTTCAACTGCACGGAAGCTGTAGAGATTTGCTAATGTGAAAACACTTTTCCATAGAAGTACCTTGTGTGTCACTCTGCTCATGTGACAAGATTTCACTTCGTTCTTCCAAGATTTGTACAAGTGCAGCCTGGAGTTTATGAGGCAGGATCTCATCTTCATCTGATACCTAAAGAGAAAAATGGCCATGAAAGCATTTTTGTGTTGTATCTATCATCAGCAGAACCTTCTCATTGTGAACGGATGAGAAATACTTGTAACATGCCTAAAAGTTAGAGGGAAGTTACTCTGTGATATGGTATATTTTGGTCGAGACAATACATTTGTCTTGTAGCCACAGAAATGAAAAATGTTTGCTCAACACCCTCCGACTATGTACTATTAGAGTCACACACACAACTGGCCAACACAGAACAATGTGTGCTACATCCATGACACAGATTCAGGCTTATTATACCAGTGATAAAACACAGAAGAACAACAAAAGTCTGTTGAGAAAATATGACAAGTCTCAACATTATGGTTAAAAAAACCAGATCCTTTAATACCTTTCTCCAGTTGCAGGCTGCAATGCAAAATAGAACAGTAAGGCAAGGAAAAGGAGATGCAAATATCCTCCTGAACTAGTAATACTCCAGTATGTTTATAGCTACTTGTCTGGTGATGTAGAAGCACACAGCAGAGAACCACAAGTGAACTATGATAATTTGTCTCCTAGACTATCACTCCTGGGAAAAAAAAAAAACCCACAACACCAAAACCAACAAACACACCCCAGCTAGACAAGAGAGGAGAGAGCCCTGTAGGGAACAAGTACACAAGACAGACAGCCAGAAAGCAGCAAAGAATCTTAGTGGTCCACTTCACATAATGAACCAACTAAGTACCTGTTTCTAAATAAGCAGCATCTTTGGCTTCGCAGAGCTCTGTGCCTCATGCAACCTCAATCTTGCAACAAGGATTTGTAAGCCTGTTCCCTTCTCTACTGATCAAAAAGGAATGTAAAATATTTCTTTAGCCACTGGAGTCTACATATGAATACTAGCTTTTGCTGATTTCTTGTTTTCATTTTCTTTCATTGACGCCTTTTGCTGGCATATAACCATGAGTGACTGGTGATGTTATTTCACTCACCTCTTGCAAGAACTTGTCAGCACAAAGATCAACAATCAGAACCTGGGGAAAGATGTACAAAACACACTGACTCTTATAAACAGGTATGTTGCTGTACAGAAAAAAAACCTATTGGTTTTTTTTTTTTAAATGTCCCCATTGGCAGGGGATGTCACACACAAAACACAAGTTTTGCATAACTGCAGCCTGTCTATAAGAACAGTGAATATTATTTATCTTTGATAACAATAGAACACCCTGACATGTATCTGGCAAGTTCACCAACTGCCTCAGAAAAGTTTAAGAGTTTATATTAAGACAGAATCCACAGAGATTATTCCAGAGAGGTCAGCTTCATACTACTGACATTGTCCCTCCACTGTGCTTCACCCAATTCTCACCTCTTCTATGGGCAGGTCCTGGAGCTGTGGTAACGAGCAGGAGAGAATGCCAATTAAGAATGGGGTCGGAGAGCACACAATATCAATCATAGAAGTTGGTAGGACTGGTATGTAGGTGTGCTGCCAAGTGAAGGGATAAAGCGTTGCAACTGCGGCATGGCCACATTTAGACAGAGTGCTAGAAAGGTAAGAGAAGCACAGAGTGGATTGTCAATGTCTCGTTCAGTGCTCAGCTACAGACACAGGTTAGGAATGCTCAGGGAAAATGTAATTCACGTACATTGTTTATGCATCAGCAGAAGCCCCACGTATCCACTTTTAAAATCAGTTATGAGGAGCTAGGAATAGCATCAACCCAGACTAAAGAGGTAAAAGAAATACTCCCCTATGTCCTCTTGGGTAAATAGCATACTCCAAATTCTAAGCATGCACATGTTGTGTGGAAAGACTGCAAAAAGCTTTTAAATGTAACTATTTACAAAAAGTTAGACAAGCTTGCACATGAAACAGGACCAAACACAGAAGAAAAAATAGTATCCCTCAGAAAGAACTAGTCACTCAGACTCATTTTTTACCTTAAGTTGTCAGCAACAAAGATCACCCTCCTTTCCAGCAGGAGAGAGGCAAAGACCCGAATCACGTGAGAGACACTTAGGCACTTAAACAGGCATTCGAAGTCAACGTGTTCGAGTCGAGAATCCAACGGACGGCAGAGTTCCATCACCTGAGAGGCAAGCAGAGATGCAGAGCGCTGGAGGAGAAAGCCCCAGCGCAGAGTCAGGCCGGGCGAGGGGCGGCCTGGCTGGAGCACAGAATTGGCGGCTCCTCACAAGTGGAACCCACGGCCTGGGCAGCTGGCGCAGGGCACCCCAGAGGACCCCCAAGCAGCTCTTCCTTAAAAAGCAGGGAATCACTTCTACGGTAGGCGATTCAACAGGAAGCCGGCTTCTGCGGCAGCCTCCCTTCGGACTTTCGGACATCTTCAGACCAATTATTTACAGGCGGCATCACTATGCAGCGCAGTTTGCAAAGTGCCGCTGTGCCCCAGAGACACCATCGACACAGGAAAGCCCGTCCTGGTTTCCGTTACCTCATTTCCTGCTCCTGGCAGGAAACTCCTCACAGTAATCGTGCGTCCAGGAGCAGGGAAAGGCGCCTCCATTACACTGCGCATAAACGGGTGTACTAGGGCTGGGGACATCTCTCGCCTCTTCTCCACTTCATCTAAAATCTGCAAGAAAATACATCGGACATTGGTTCGATGCCTGCTGGTGCGCCAGAGGAGGTATGAGCCTCTGTTAGAGTCTCCTGTGCCATAGCTACACGTGACGGCTCCAACACACTCACAGCCCTCTCCCCCCTCGCTTGAGATCCCTGTGAAAGCTCCTCTCAGATGTCTGAGCAATCAAATGGGAATAGATACCTGCGAGTACAACTCTCCATTCTCAAATCCAGTCTCCTGCTACTGCAAGGAAACGTCTTGTATGTGGTAATCAAATTGTCACAACTAGTTAGAGGAGTAAGAAGAGCAACACCCCATCCTCCTTCCCAAGAAATCTTTCTGAAACACTGTTCTAGAAACTGTGCTCCAACAATCAGAAATCAGCTTTGATCATAAGCTTGCCCCTGTATTCTTCTGCAATAGCTGCCCTTTACCTGCAGTAGCTTTCCCCAGTCTTTACCTCTTTATCTACCCTCCTCATGGTGCTAGCAGAAACAAGCTGAAATTTCCTCCCCACCACCCCGCCAAACTGATTTTCCATTTCCAAGTCATGGAAGAAGAGGATGAAGGGACACCATCAGTAATATCAGGTATGAGAAGCCTGACAGTAATTTGCTGAAGGAATAGTCATCTGTGTATCGGCTGACACGTCTCAGCACTAGTATCATTTATTTGCTCTGTCAAAGCAAAGGCGGCAAGGAAGCACCACTCTCCTGGGATGAGTTACAATTGCTAAGCAATTCTAGACTGGACAGAAGCATCCAGTTACTTTCTGGAGCTTGCAGGTTGTCAGAGACTCAAGTCCGATAAGAAGTAACAGGATCTCCCCACTTCACCTTGGAGAAGAGGTTGAAGCAGCCCAGGCGGCTAACGATGCAGTATACTTCAGGAAGGCGCTTCCCTTTCCCTTCTGGCTGAAAGGCAACAGGAACAGTTATGCTGAGAACCGGGATGCAACAAAGAATATAGCACCTACACTATAGCTGATTCGCAGAATTCCTTCTGCTGCAGTTCCCTCTACACTTCTGACTTAAAAGATTCCTGAGGAATGACCAGTTCCAGGAGCTGTCTTTCAAGCCCAGAGCCCATTTCATGGTATTGCTGGGCATCATCATGCTCCCTCCTTATGCATTCAAAGGGCTGGTAACCTCAGCAGCAGCACAGGCGCTACATAACCCGCACGGGAAATCACTGCTGATTCACATCCTGCACTTGACTGTGCATTTCTCAATGCATTCTTTACACTCCACCCAATACACAGATACTTACCAGGAGCTTCTTGCAGTACCCAAACCAGCGTCCGCCATCCTCATCCGTCAACACAAAAGAAAATGTTTCACTGGGGAACCAAGGAACAGTCAGGGTTAAATTCACCATGCAGTTCAGAGAAGAGACTGACAAAGCAAGCACACAAACTATCAGCCATTCTCTTTCTGGTCATGCTGAAGACCCCCTGCTGTGGTTAGCAAGCTACTTTGTGCTCTATTCAGTGTAAAAACCTGCAGCCCGTGGACTCTCACTGAGCTACTACAGCTCTCTTTCTTCCCAGCTGCTTCTCCATTCTGCCAAGGAGCAACAGAAGCACTTGCCAGCCCCAGGAGCTGGCCTGGAACAGACATTACAAACTTCCTTCTTATAGGAAAGATGGTGCTCGGGCAGAAGCAGCACTTCTGAGTCCACCTCCATATCTCATCTTCCCCATCACAGGGGTTAGGGATTCAGCCTTTCCCAAGGAAAAGCCTTGCTCTGGCTGCAGTTCCTCTGGTCCAGGAAACTGGCAGATACCTAAGCTTTCAGCATTGCCTGTTTCAGGCATGAGTATTCAAAAACAAGGCTTTACCTTTTAAGGTCTGATGCAGGAAACCAGTCTTTGGGATCTGGAAAGCAGAATTTGGGAATGACCTTTAGCCTCTCCTCAGTATCCTTTGACTGTCTGAAGGGATGTTCAGGCTGGAGGGGTAACACATGCATTTGAAGTCACTGAAGTGTGGTGCACAGCTGCAGCATTTAAAACAATAGAAGACAGTATCTTCCTGACACTTCCAAATGCTGAACCATCAGATAGCTAATGCACAAGCATAGGAGAACATATTCTGACTATAACAGATTCCCAGTTTTGATTGGACCTTTGTAAAATTAGCCAGCTGGTCTTGGTAAGAACTGAGTAAGGATTTGGAAGCATGGTCAAGTTTATTGGGGAATGAAGCTAGAACTGACCCCCCAAATGACGGTTGTGTCAGCTTGCCTTGGTTCTATTCCTAGGAGATTTGAAGACACTAAGAGAACAGGAATGTGTTCAGCTTGTGATATGCAGATCACTCATCATTCAATTGCAAAAACAGTGTATCTGAATCACATGTTCCAGTTACCACGTGTGGGCTCAAGTCAAATCTCTCAAAGACTACAGGACAATTTCCATGCTCAAAACTGCCAAGAAGGGGCAAAAGGAAGGTTTTCAAATAAGAGAGATCACACTTAAGTAGGAAATGCCCCTGAGAAGAGGAAAGTTTATTGCATAAAGCTGATTTTAGACACTGTACTCTCAGTCAACGCATCTAGGCCATTCCAGTGTCCCAAGCTGTGACAGCATGAAGGAGCAGTTAGGAAAACAGTACAGCATTTTCACAGAGTAACAGTTGTACAAAAGCTTTGATGTCCTTGGGCATGCAGCCCAAAGAAGAGGGTGACAAGCAGATTACTTGGAAGCAAGGCTATTTTTAGAACAGAGACAAATCTGTAACCAGAACACCTCCATAATTACTGGGCAGTGTTTCCTGCAAAATCTTAACATGATAGACTGTCCCATATAAAGTTACTCACCAAAACACTTTACTTTGAGCAGAGGATAAATAAATGCTGAGAAAATAATATGTTTTGTTAGTGCATTTTAAAAAGCCAGTAAAGAGCCACATGGTACAGTTGGGTCTGATTGTCTGCTAGGGCAGCAGGAAAAGAACAATGCACTGCCCTTCCCTAAGGCAATGAACAGAGGAGAGTTTGCACCAGGGAAAAGATAAATCTGGTTACATTCCCTTCTTCCTCCTAATACCCTAAAGTTTGCACTTCTAGCAGATTATTTATGTATGTTCAGTTTTACCCACTAAATTAAGACTGTGCAGTCTTTCTGGCTGTAGTCCCTTATTCATTTTGTGAATCCAAAACGTTTACACATTTAAGACACTAGAATTATTTGCACACAAATCCCTTATGCAGCTGGACACCATGGGTTCTGCTGGAGTCCCACATAACCTCCCTTAATGAATCTGACATCTCCTTCTCTATTTGGATGACATGCAGATTCCTTAATAATCTCTGGCTTACTCCTGATAGCACAGCTAGAATTACTAGTTTTGTTCTGTTTTTTTAGTGGAAGGCAGCAGGTGCAAGCCTAGATGGTGACAACTGAATATTCATTTCAATCTGGAACCGCAGAAGCAAGCATCAAGGCTCCATCCTTTTAGCTTCACAGTAACTACTGTGTATACCGAGTCATAATTTGGAGTCACACACTGATCTTGTCATCCATTTGGGCTGAACAGACAGAAAGAAAGCTTATTTCAAATGGCTTGTTCTAGATACAGTACTTTAACTTCCACAGTGCTCTTCTGCTTTTTAGGAGCTAGTACACATGGCTTTGCCATTTTAATTTTTTTTCCCCCAGAACAGTATAAATAAGCTTAAAAGCCCTGGGATTCTAGTTCCTGTGCACCATCAGTCAAATTGCTTCACTCCTTGTTTATAAATCACAGACTGCCAGGATGAGGTTTGTGCCAGCTTTGGGAACAGAGCACTGCACTCCCTTTCCTCTCCTGCAGGCTGCCTTATCAGTGTATCACAATACAGTATGGCTGTATTGATATTTCCAAGCAATTTTAGAGTAGGAGCCTTCCTAGTTCCAAAAGAAGACAGTAAACTCAGTATCAAGAAAGATACTCAACAACTGCCCCACACTATATGTTAGGTCTGTAACAGAGCAAGGTGCTTCGTATTCCAAGCCTGTATACTAACCAGTGGGCCAGCTTTAGTAGTATAGAGTTTAGGAAGGATACACACTGCGAGAGGAAATAAACAGCTGCTGAGTGTGCTTTGCGGGCAGGTTTCCATGTAGCTCCTACCTTGCTGGGAAACTGCTGTACGATCTGTGGTGTGTACGTCACCTCAGATGCCTTCTTGTGCAGCGACACCACCACAAACAGCTCAAATAGCCACTGCTCCTGAAGCTCTATCAAATCCCTCTCCAAAGTCTGGTAGCGTGGGTTCCTCTTGGAGGCTGACTGCACCTGCAGCAGGCACCTGTGTCGACCTGAAGAAAGGAACAAATCCAAAACCAGCCTGTGGCTATCACTGCCACACACCTACAGGTCATAGAAGAGGACTCGTCACCACCTTTAGAAGGGGGAAAAGAGATGGGTGCATTTGCCTAACATCACTGCTGCGCTCTATGGGACTTGGACTCCTGTGTCAGCTCCTCAAGCACAGAGCTATTCCAGATAGGGGAGCACTGGCCTTGCAGCAGCTCTGCAAATCCCTCTTGACCAATAGCTAGCATTCTCCTGCTGTCCTGACATTCTTTCCACATATCTCAGAGCAAGACGCTGTGGTAACGATGAGGGAAGCCCAGCTGTGAGAAGAAACCCGGCTCCACCAGTTCAGTAATTGCCAGGCCTCAGGCAGCTACTCTGTAAAGCAGCAGTCAAGAGACGCAGAGCCAGTTTCCTGGCCAAGAAACCTCCAGGCTGGGACATCTTGACAGGCAGCACAAACTCACAAGCACAGGCACAGCCTCTGATGTAAGAAATTCCTGTGGCCCAGGTACCATGACACATTCTTAACACTTTGGAAACAACTCTTAAATCAGGCAGTGACTCAATCGCTGTATTTCTGCAGAGACTCTTCACTCTCCATTACTCTCCTTAATATAAAAAAGTGGAACTTCACTACACCTTCCAAGTTAAGGCCTTCTGTATGCTTCCCTCCAAGTAAATGAAATGTCTAAAACAACTCCCTTGGTCCTTTTCGCTAGATGCTTGCTTAGAGACATGACAGAGTCACTCATCAGGGCTGCTGGCCAACCATTACCATTTTGCATTCAAACCTTATCAGCATAGCAACTGAGACCTCTTTGGTCCTTCCCACACCAGCTAAAACCAAGTAGGTATTTCAAGTCTGTAGTTTGGGCCTATGATCAAACTCAGGACTGTGGATCCAGACAAATAACCAAGTGATTTCTCCCCAGAGGAAAGGGCATTTCACAACATTATACATATAAAACAGAACCAAGGGAAGAAAGTAGGGGGAAAATAACCTCAAGTGTTAGCAGCAAAGGTGATCCAGGAACAGTCTCCTGCAAGACATATTTTAGTTAAGTGTGCCTCTACCAACCCAAAAATGAATCTACTTCTAGAGACTGGCAGATTAATGGCATTAAACCTCAAGGGCTCAGGAGAAGTGGCAGAAAGAGAGGTTGATTTGTCACAGCAACAGCTCCCAGCCTTGGCCATGCTGCCTCTTAGATGTTCCTTTCCTCTGTCTCGCCAGAAGTCACAACTACTGGCTTATCCCACTAGAGCCTTAGCCAGATGTGTAGTGCTATGGGGACAGGACCAATCCCTGTGATTCACTCACTTTTTGGCTGATTTTCCGTATCACTTTCATTCCCACTGGTTTCACCTGAAACACACATAGTTTTCACTTATTAGCCATGCAGAAGGAAGATGGGCAACACCCAAAGTTGGGAAAGAGAGAGAACTTCAGACTCATCAGACCAACCTATCCTGCTCAAACCATCAGCAAAGAACAGCTAGTACTGGCAAATGTGCTACAACAGTAAATTTCAAAAAGCGGAGTTGATACCGTCACTGTTTCCAGTAAACCACCTGTAGGTCAGCTGAACACAGGCAAAGAACAGAAACCAGGTGGTTATTTGATGCTGCTATAAAAGTTAACAGAGTCGCTGAACAGAATATACTATAAATAAAGACCATACCATGGCTACAAAATCAGAAGAACACAAGAATATCACTTTAGAGGCACAAAAGTGATGAGTGGAGTAGTCAGAGGTAGTTCTCGTGCCAAGTGGTTTTGTGGGGAATTTTCAGGTTTGTTCTGCTTTTTTGAAAAAGCACTTTTAACCAGTAGCCCAGCTCTTCAGGCTCAGATCTGTGACAGTGTTAAACTTGGGTTAGGCAAGTGTTCCCAATCCTAGCCGTGCTGAAAGCTCAACAATTCCAGTTGCAAGTGTTGTGGTTTAACCTGGCAGGCAGCCAAATACCACGCAGCCGCTCACTCACTCCCCCCCCTCCCCCAGTGGGACAGGGAGAGAATCGGAAGGGTAAGAGTGAGAAAAACTCGTGAGTTGAGACAAAGACAGTTTAATAAAACAGAAAAGGGAGAATAATAATGATGATAGAATATACAAAATGAGTGATGCACAATGCAATTGCTCCCCACCCGCGCTGACCGATAACCAGGTAGCGATCGGTACTTCCTGGATCACGCCTACCATTCATATACTGAGCATGACGTCACATGGTATGGAATACCCCATTGGCCAGCTGGGCTGGCTGTCCTGATTATGTTCCCTCCCATCTCGTGTACCTAGCTCAGTCAGTAGGCATGGGAGCTGTCCTTGGACTAGGAGGGTACTTAGCAACAACTGAAAACATCAGTGTGTTATCAACATTCTCCTCATACTAAATCCAAAACACAGCACTAGGAAGAAATTTAACCCTATCCCAGCCGAAACCAGGACAGCAAGACATGGAGTTTTAGCACTGTCGAGTTAGCCCAGCATGAGCTGCAGGAGGCAGTGGTGCCTGGCCTGCTACCAGTATCTCAGGATGTACAGGAACTGTGCCGCTCAAGAGGTTCATAGCAAAGAGAATGGTGCTGGAGACCTCTGTACCTTTCACTGGAGGCGCTTCTCTCCCAGCAGGACTGAGCAACTTCACCCTCTTCTTTCCACGCTTAGAATCAAAGATCTCCTGTATTTTTAGTACCAGCTGAAATCAAAAGCAGAAGCAGAGGTTAATGTGAGGGTCCAGAAAAGGGTCCAGGTGCCATCAGGATTGCAGCCCAACAGCTATCATCTAGCACCACAACACTTGGGAAAGGCTGCCCAAGTTGTGCCAGGGACCCTGGCTCAGAGACTGCTGCTAGAGTACTTTTAGCACAGCTCACTGGATAATGAACAAGCACAGAAATTCTAATACAAAAGAGAGATTACTGTTAGCACAGCTCAAAGCTGACAGCAAACTGTACAAGCATTCCGGAAGTTATCATACTTTGCTTACCAAACAGATAGCAGAAGCGGCAAACTGTCTGGCATCACATCTCCATTTTCTATTAGAGAGGCCAACTGCAAAGGCACTTGCAAGAATATCTTATAAACCCTCCACCACAAAGAACTCTGAACTCCACATGCTCTCAAGCATCCCAATTCTTTCCAAGCCTAGAAAAAGCAGAGCTCTCTCAATATAGCTTGGGGTTTGTTTTTGTTTGTTTTGTTTTTTAAATTTGCTGCTGTAATTTGATGTCAGACAGCTAAAGTTCTCCAAAGCACCATGTCAGGCACAGAACAAGGCTGCTTTAAGCACAGTTTACTAAAATGAAAGGATTATGTACTTTTATTTTGCATAGGTGAAGAAAGACTGTGGGACAGAATAATGGGTCTATGCTGCATGGACACCACAGACCTGGTCCACTGGAAGAAAAAATTTGGAAAAAACATAGCCCAATGCAGACATGAAAGAATGGTCAGCATTTAGACACTCCCAAGTCGATGCTGTTAACCTTCCTTTCACTGGTCACAACAGCCTTAAAACAAAAGCCCTAACGCTCTCTGTTACTCCTGTCACAGGCCTCTCTGGACTCACTCCTCCCAGCTTCCAGGTATACAATGCTGCAGTAGCTCCTTGATTCTGCATGTCACAGATGGCTATCACTTCATTGTGAAGAAGGATTTACACTAAATGCAGTGAGCAGGTCAAGTTCATTCTTGTCTCAAGTTCAGAATTCATTAAACGCTCCCACTGAATGTAGGAGGGTGGGGCCCAGCCATTTGTCACCACAAATACTGCATAAAAAGGAAGATATTCAGCAAGAGAACCTGTTTTTCAGCCTTTATCCCCAGCTCAGCAAACTAGGCTTAGGCTCTTCTTTTCAGATCTATTTCTCCCCATTTTCCACGTTAGCCAGTTCTCCTAGCACGATGGGGCTGCAAGGAAGAAAACAGCCCACTGCAGAAAGCAGTGCTTTCCTGCAAAATCTGCCTTCTTTCCCTTCTACCATCCTTACCTAGACGATTTCCATTTCTGTTCTGATTTTTGTGCAGTTGAGTCACCAGTGAAAGATATTGGGTGCGTTTAAGGCAGCCATGTGTTTCTTAAGCAGTAAGTACGTTTTTTCTTTTTAGACTCCAATCCTTTTCTCAATCTCTCGAGCAATCTTGGCTCAATTCCTTGTAAGCAAAAAGAGTGAAGTGTGCTTCCTGCATGTAAATTGTTACCAGATTTTTGGAATAGGTTTGCTTTTGGAGAATATTTTATTTTCCCCCTCCAAATGAAAGATACTCTCCATCACAGCATTTTTATAACCTTGCCATCTTCTTCCTGATTTTCCAGGCCTACAATTTGTTTAAAAACACATACAGAAGTTGCTTGTTACTATAAAGTACTTAATGTTTGAAAAGTATTTTGCAGCTGTCCAGCCCTACCTCACAGTCTTCTGCAATTTGAGCAAATACACCCAATTTTCACAAGAAATAAAGGTCTGCAGAAGTTAAATGATTTTACCATGGCAAAAGTAAGTTGTTGCCACTACCACAACTGGAATTTGAGTCCCATACACAAAGTGCCACTACAGTGGTAGCTTCAGCTGTCCTTCTAGAGCACATGCTGCACTTTATCACTGGAGACATGAGCTGGTAACCAACACTAGTATCTAGAAAGATTCCCAACGCATGAAATGAGAATTACAACGGAGTCCTCTATTGTGAAGGTGGATTAAAAGCCTTTCTCGCTACTCTGGCCTCAGAAGCATATCTGCCTTTGCACACAGGCAGGAAGGAGCGGCCAGAAAGGCAGCAGAGGGAAGAACCGTATGAAGGTTTTATGAAATGTGCTTATCCTGAAAAATTGCTCTTCACCTTTAGACTACGGAACAGCTGCAAGGGTACATTCCTGATGGCAAATCAAGAACTCCAAGCCAACAAGCCAAGTAACCAAGGGCCCAGCCGGCTCCCCACAGCAGCCCCACAGCTATCTAATAACTCAGTGCCTGCAGCGAGAATGTAAGAGTCAGTCTGAGAAGTCACCAGGAGCAAGGGACACGTACACACAATTGTACAGAGCTGGCCCTTCAGCTCACAGAGAGCTTCCTTGCATTTCGGCACTGCATTCAGCACAAGACCAGCATCATTACACTTCATGGAAGCATTGGCAGCAAGGCTTAAATGACAAAGCACAAGGAAAAGCTAGTATTCACACACAGCACTGATCTCCAGGTCAACACCTAGTACTCCGTTTGCAGATTCTTGGCCAACAAAACCACCGCCCCAGCTTGAACTAGCACTCTGTTTTTTGATCCCCAAACACCTGCCCTGCTACTTGGAGGGGAAATGGTTCAAGCAGGGTCACTTGTCCACACATACAGCAGTGCTAACCACCTGCCAGACACACAGCTCCATGACCACTTACAAAGCACTTAGAAGGTGCTAGACAAAGCAGCAACAGTTTGAAATGCCATGCAAGAAGTAATGTTTCATGCTTAAATCTCACCCAGGGCAAGTTCTTTCTCCTGCTAGCAGCCTCTACTGCTCGGAACAGCTTCCACTCTGTCAGTGTGACAGGCAGGGTTGCATCCTTCACCATTTTCCCTTGGAAACTTGTCTGGGAGGGCTTTAGCTCAAGAGTTTTGCGACTGAGGAAGGGAGGTTTTGGGGGAGGCTAGAAAACAGAATCAGAAGAGATGGTTAGGCATGGGATTAAGCTTTTGTCCAAGCTCAGAGTCAAAGGAGTCAGATTACAAATCATAAACTTCCTGCAGCCTCCTGCTCTACCAAGCTCTCCATCCCACCCCCACCCCACATACTCAAGCATCTCATCAACACTCTCTTGTTCCTATTCTTTTGCTCTTTAGCAGCTTAATCAACTGCCACTGTCATGGCTGTTCATTATTATTTACATTAATAACAAACAATAAAAATAAGGAAAACCAATGACGTACCAGTGGGGAATGTGGGGCCGGGGGGAGCCCAAAATAGGGCATGTAAACACGTGACAATTTAATCCCCTCACCCTACCTTGGGAGCCCTACTGGTGCTCCGGGGGGGTGGCAGCTTCCAGACAGATGGGACCTTCCACAGGGGTAAGGGCAGCGCTCTGATATCTTCGTAGGGGTTCTCTTTTGCAGGACCTGGAAGAAGCATTGGACAGGGCATTTATGAAAGGAGATAACGTCCTGCATTCTTCCAAGGGATGTAAGCAGGGAGAGTGTGCAGTTGTCTGCCAAGCTTTAACAGGATCTCTGAGAGACCTGTTCTAAGATGGATTAGGTTCCCACCACTCAAAGATATCTTTCTAACCCACTACCATCAACATGGCAAACTGTACACGGACTCAGCAAAACAAAACACTTCTACCATTGCAGAGAAAGCAGCTCTATTGCAAAGCAGCTAATTTTGTCAGTGTTCACACTGATCTTTGTGCAGCACTCGAGCAAAGCATCTGAAGAGCTAAGAAAGAAAACAGTTTAGCACAAGCCAATTCTAGCGACCTTCTATGATATCTGAATTCAGGCTGTTCACATGCAGATAGTTACTAACATCAACAAAGAACCCCACATGGGGAAGACCTTAAAAGTCACAGAGTTGGAAAGGGCCTCAATGCATTCTCATCTTCAATCCTCCCTCCCCAGAAAATCTGCTACCCTTAATTAAAGTGAGTGCATCCCCCAGAAGCACAGGAACATACAGATAATGTCCTCGTAGATGTTGTCTTCTGACTGTGTGTAGACGAGCCTGGATCCTGTAGTGCCATTTGTCTCTTCTCGAAGTCTGTGGGAACTGGTGGTTGCCATCCGGTTGCGGAAGCCCTGGATGTCCTCAAACTCAAAAGATTTCCTAGAGGAAAACCAGTGTAACTTCTTCTAAAGGCACCTGCATGTACCAGTGAGTTGCTGTCTCCAGTCCACACAGAGTATGGTCCTCCTTGGGGCCATCAAGCACATGGATGCTCCACTCTGGACTCTCTGATTTCCAAGTGTTGAGGTTTAACCCCAGCTGGCAGCTCAGCCCCACACAGCTGCTCGCTCCCGCCCAGTGGGATGGAGGAGAGAATCAGAACGGTAAAAGTGAGAAAACACATGGGTCAAGATAAAGACAGTTTAATAGGTAAAGCAAAAGCTGCGCACACAAGCAAAGCAAAATAAGGAATTCATTCACTCCTTCCCATCGGCAGGCAGGTGTTCAGCCATCTCTAGGAAAGCAGGGCTCCATCACACGTAACGGTGACTTGGAAAGACAAACGCCATCACTCCAAACATCCCCCCCTTCCTCCTTCTTCTCCCAATTTTTATTGCTGAGCATGACATCATATGGTGTGGAATATCCCTTTGGTCAGTCGGGGTCAGCTGTCCCAGCTGTGTCCCCTCCCAACTCCTTGCCCCCCCCCAGCCTGCTCGCTGGTGGGGTGGGGTGAGGAGCAGAAAAGGCCTTGACTGTGTAAGCACTGCTCAGCAGTAACTAAAACACTGGTGTGTTGTCAACACTATATTCATCACAAATCCAAAACATAGCACCATACAAGCTACTATGAAGAAAATTAACTCTAGCTCAGCCAAAATCAGCACACTAAGCGAGTCTTACTCACTTACTCTGGGAGTTTTTAAACTAAAAATGAAGTTGGAGGCTCCATGGCCAAGCACACTCCAAGCAGGTATGGCGAGTCCCATCCTGTCACAGAGGCAAGAATCCAAAACACGTTTTGCAGACTAAGCACTTGCAGCAGTACTCAGAATTAGGGCACTGCTTTCTACTGGACCTCTCTTACTGCTCAAGTTAAGGGTGTTATAGCATTTGCGAGTTTGCATTTTCATAGACTTGGCCTCCATTTCAAAATTATGGCACAGAGGTCACAAAGGAGCTGGCAGGGATTTAGCCCATAATCGTAAAATTTGGTTTGTTGCTGCACGCTTTGCCACAGTGAAAGAAGGTTTCAGGAGTCCTAGCCACACCTCCACCTATAATATAATGTTCACACTACTCTCTAGCACAGCTGCCCTAGGCAGCTTATCTGTAAGCAGAACTAGCATCAAGCTAGCTCAGAGGTTTTTTACTCTGCAATAGGGACCTACATACGGGAAAGAGGGAAGAATAGCCAAACCTACTGCTACAGAGGTACCCACAGCTGACAGCCTCTAACTTTAAGCAACGAGAGAATCTTTCACTCACAGGAAAGCCAGAACATTTAGTGGCCATACTGCCCCAGGAGAAAGCTATTCTGTAATCCACAAATTGCAGCTGAGGACAAGCTCAGGGCAAGAAGCAGGCAGCACTCTCCCTGGGGCCAGCATGTTGTCACTCAACTCTGTTTTAAGGCATGGAACTGACATCTGTTTGGAGCTTTTAGTTTTCTTTGCAAGATTATCAGCAGCAAAAGCAGTGCATAAGCAATGCTGGAAAGGGGATACTTTCATCCAGAAATATCCTCTCCCTGTCAACAGAGGCATCATCAGTACTAGCACCTCCACAAAGATACCATGGCAAGAAAGCAGTTTAAACCCATCTAGAAACTGATTTAAGGAAACATGTTTCACACATGAAAGATTAATCGATGTACCTCTGGGTTCTCCCTCTGATCCTCCTGCTGGCTATTCTCTTCTCAGGATTGTGGGAGGATGACACCAAGTCTCCTCCATGCTGCTTTTGCAGGGGAACTTCCCTGGTAGGCCTGGCATCGCTACAGCTACTAGCACCCTTTTCTGCAAGATAGCAGAAAGTCCTACGGGGCTTGGGTGGTGGGACAGCAGCTGGCTCCTCCTCTTGCCCCTCAGCCTCAGAGTAAATGTTTTTCAAGCTCCTCTCTGCCCTGCAGAGAGAGCCCACTCCTTTGATTTTAAGTTCTCTTTCCGTGGAGCCACAGCTCCCTCGCTTTCTCTGAAGATCCAAGGGAACTGGTGGGGCTTTGCCAGGCAGAAGGGTATCTACTCTCCTCCACAGAGCTTGTGAGGTATAGAAGTTCCCTGGGGGCAGTGTCGCCCCTGGGTCCAGGAAGCCTGCTTGCCACTCTGCTTTCTCCTTGGCTTGGGAAGCTAGGCTGCATGCACAGGGCTTGAGGTCACCACAGTCATCAGTCTGCAAGCAGCTCCATGCATCTTCCCTGAAGTCCAAACCCAGGCTCTTTGGATCTTTGGACCCAGTTTTTCTGCCGTTCGCTGTATATTCTGGCTTCACTTTGGGTAGAGCATTGCAGCTGGGATCATACTTTACTCCGAAGTCCTTCAGCTGCTGTTTCTCCTTGCTGGAGCACCCTCGTGTCCTCCCCTCCCACTGGGAGATCTTCTGTTTGATGTTGCGGCAGTGGCTCCGGGAGAGGGTCTGTACAGCAGAGCGGGAGAAGCTACTGTCCACTGACCCTGTTGGGTGCATGGCAAGTGCCAATGCGCTTACAAACACCTCATCTCCATCCTTGTCCAGGTCCACCCGTGTCCTGAACACACGAAGCTGGCATGAGACTCCAAAGCACCCACTGGTGTCCAAGAGCCCCCAGGTGTCAGCTCTGCAAGGACTGCTTGCTAGCACGACCTGTGGACAAAAAGAAGAAAAGAACCATCAGCTGCATTGCAGCCATACACACCACCAGGAACTCCCAGCTGCTCTCTGGCAATTGCTGAAGAACATTCCTCCCCAAATCACATGCTCAAGATTGGCTTCCAGAGCATGCTCCCCACAAAGCCTGTTTCTGTAACACACATCTGGGAGGACTAACAAAAGGAAGTAGAGGTCTCATTGGCTTAAAAAACAAACAAAACACCACAACAGGAACAAAACACAGCCAGGGATCTCAAGGGTTCAAACTCAAGGAAGTTATTTAATGGCACAGGAATACAGCAGCATGGCCCGTCTGCAGCAGAGCTCTCAGCCAGCCCCTCTGCTGCTCACTTGTACCAATGCAGGCCAGGCAGGAGTGCTCAGTTTCTCCTGATGCTTTGTACTGCCCAGAACACCTCAGGCAGCACATAGCCAAACCACTGCAGCACAACGTCTCTACCAGAGCTCTCAACACAGCACAGACACAGCAAGATACAAGATTCCAGGCCAGCTCTAGAGAAAGGGAGCCAGATCTACTTCTCCAGAGAGTCAGCAGCAGCAGACGGCTGCTGCTTCACACAGGAGGACGAGGACAGTTTTGATGACTGGAGAAGAGCCCAACTGCACTCCTCCTCCCAGAAGTGCTCTCCTGCTGCACAACACAAGTAAAAACCTGTCTGATGTTTTGCTTGTCAACACCTGACCTAAATTTGCCATCAGAGAGACTGGAGGGCAGTGGTGCCCAGTCTGTGGCTTGCAGCCAGGGGAAGTTTTAAAGGGCATACAACAGAGGCCAAAAGGCAGGAAACTGGTGAGTTCTCATGCTCAAGAGGAAAATAGCCCTGTGTTTAGATCAGCAGAGGAGAAAGAATGCTAAAGAAACACTATGACTTCTCCTACCCAAGCAGAGCCTGCGCAAACAGGAGCTATGCTGTTTGAGACTACCCCAACGTATAATCCAGAGGATACGGCAAACAGTCCTCCAGATAGTCCTGCAGCAAGAAAGGCAGGTGAAGCTGCCAGGGAGAACCTGGGTGACTGTATAGACCCAGCACCTATAGGTCCAGTATGACCTCAGTACAGACATTCCGTATGTGGAGTCCCCAGCTTCGGAGCCCTTCGGCATCCCCAACATTCTCGGATATGCCAGAACAGTTGAAAACTCATCTTGGACAGAAGACAGCAGCCCATAGGCTCTAATATGCTCCATTCCTTCCTTTCTCCAGCCAGTTACCCCATTTCAGAAGTTCCAACCCTCCAGGTCTATTTAATGTTCTCCATTTGTATTAGGAGACAAGCGCTCAGCAAATCTCGGGCTCAGGCCAGGTCACCATGCAGCAAGCCTGGCCACGCTGCCTTCAGTAACATTCCCCTGGCACTAAGAAGTCTCCCTGCAAAAGGCAGAACAAGAGCAGCAAGCAGTCCTCATTCCACACATGCAGCAAAAACAGAGGACCTCTGCAGAAAGCAAGTCGGGCTTGCTCCAGGTGGGAACACAGGCCATAGTCAAACAAAGCCTGTACTCAGGCTTCACCTGACAGATCCAGCCAGCTCTCACTGCCAAAAACCGGGTACGTGTCCTCCAAAGCTGCTATTATGACACCCAGTCTTCATTGACTCACCAGAGCCTGTAAGATTTGCAGAACGAAGGATGGGAAGCAAACCAAGCTGGAAGACAGAGGACCTTAAACCTGCCTGACAAGGGTTCATGCCCCATGCACCAGGCTGGGTGTGGAGAGCCCCTACCGCAGCAGAGGCCTGCATCCTTCCCACTGTTGATACCGCACCTCAAATTCCAGGGCTCCAGCGCTACCGGATCTATCCCTGGCATTGCTGATCTGCTTGGCAGAGGCATTTGCAGTGCAATTAAAAGAAAAGCACTGGCCTTGGCAGACCTACTCGGTATAGTTAGTGAGAAAGCTCACTGATGTAGGACAGCCCAGGGCTCCCCAAGCAATTCAGTGACGGCTTGGGCACACATGGCACCAAGCCTCGGCTCTCTCCTGCACTTTCACACTCTCTACCAAAGCACCATTGCTCACTGTAGCAAGAAGCTCACTGCTGCTTGTCTCCAGAGAGAACAGCATGGGTTCTTGCAGCCTGGCATTGCTTATCACATTGTCCCAGGCAGCTTCCAGTAACTCTCCCACTCAGCAGTCAACGGGCTAAACTTGGACAATCTGGGTAAGCAACTGAACTGGGAATATTTGCTCCACCATCAGCCCTCTGTCCCTCATCAGCATTCTGCCCTGTCCTCAATGCTTTTGTAGCCACACTGCTCCTGACCACCCCCCAGCACATCTCCGAAGAAGCGAGGTGAAGCTACGACTGTGGAGGTGGCACTGCGGCTCCAGTGCCAGCTCCAGCGTGGCACAGCACCCCTCCCCACTCCTGCCAGTAGCAAGGTGCAGGCAGGGGACGAGCAAACAGAAGAGGGCTGCTGATCCCGTCACGGAGGGGCAGGGAGAGTGCAGAACAAGTTCGAGAATGACAGAGAACACACAAAACGGCGAACACACCTACCCCGCTCTCCCCAAGTCCCTTGCCCAGGGTTCTGCAGTGCTACTGCACCCCACTGCGAGACCCTCTTCCCACACAGCCAGGCTGCTGCCCTGCTGCTCCAGGCAGCAAGGGGCCCCTGCCCTCTCCTATAAATAGGCATTGTTTCCAAAACATCCTGAGTCAGAGCAGACCCATCCTTCCTCAATCCCTGTCTGCACAGCCCTGATTAGCAGACAGGAAAGCAACTTTCCCCTTTCCTATGGCATTGCAACTACTCTACAGCAGCAGTGCTCAGGGCCGCTCCTGAGGACCTGAAGCACAAGCTAGCAAAGAAGCAAAGGCTCTGATGGGGAAAGCCAGGCTAGGAGAGGGGCGAAACAGCCTCCTCTCAGCCAGCACAGCTTCAGAGCAGGCACCTTTACTCCCTGCCAGGTCTTCAAACACAGGACCACTGGATGCAGAACTTACACAGGGACAGGCCCCCGAAGGACCCTGCAGTGTGGAGCAATGGACTTATCCACAGGACTAAGCACTTCAAGGCCAGCATACGCATTCATGGAGCACATGCAGCTCCATGCTGACAGCAAGTCCACACGTGGCACCCTTGCTTCCCAGCAGCACTGGCAGTCTTCTCCTCCAAATGCACCCCTGGGCTCAGATCAGCAGCCTGGCAAAACACCTGCATGCAGCATCCTTGAGGGCAAATCGTTGCACAGAGTAGACTGAGTAGCCCTGCTACTGAGTAGCTTTCTAGTTAGGTCCATCCTCAGCGCATGCAGGAGTGCCTGTGCTCCAGCGCGTCAGGTCTGCTGGGTGTCAGCCTGCCCCATATCCTTCCTCCTACAACTCACATTGGTAAGGATGCAACAAAAAGTGCATTTGCTCTAGTTTCCTCAGCCAGCCTGCCATATTTCTGCTCCCTCATATAGAGCCATGGCCCAAGTCAGTCTAATGCTCCTGACCTCTCTTACTGTCCACATCTGTGCTTCCATGATGAAGCACAACCAGCAACTGAGAAACACGGTGGAGAAGCAGTGTCCCAGCCAGCATACAGGTACTGGTAAGACTGCGTCTGCAGTGCTGCCTCTGGTTCTGCTCACTGATGAATGCCCAGAGTTCAAGCAGTTCACCCACTGCTCAAGCAATTACCTGACTCTAGCATCCAGAGCTACATAGGCCCATATGCAGAAACAGGATCCACACTGAGTTTATTTCCTCTCCTTCAGCATAAACCTACCAAGTAATATTACTTCTCCAGCCAGTGAAGCTCCACGCACTGGCTGGAGAAGTAGTATTACTTAGAAGGTGAAGCAATAAGCTTCACTCACCTAAGAAGCCATACAGTTTTGAGTGCAACAGCGAAGGTCTTTCCAAGGCATGTCATTGATCTTTGAATCTTTGAACTACCAGATACAACTAGAAACACATGGCTCTTGGTTCATCTTAAACACAGATGGTAGAACACAAGCTTAAAGCACCCTAAGTTCTCTCCTGCTCAGTGCTGCTCCACCAGCCACAGCCCTGAACTGTGTCTTCCAAAATAACCATCCGAGGAGAAGAATGCAGCTCTTTTCCTGTCCAGGCTTGCAAGGCAGGTGGCTGCTATCAAGAACCAGGCATTTAATCTAACCTTATCACATGAGGCAGGGCAAGGGTAGAGACTGATCTTTTGTGAGGAAAAAGCAGACTGGGGTAGTCTGATCCAAGCTAAGTAACCCTCAGACACAGTCTAAGATAGGCCAAAACACAGCTTAGGGACACAGAACTGGTAGAGACCACCTGAGTTAGGCAGCCAGCACTTGTATCTCAGGGACCACACACACCATTCCTTTCACAAACTAACCAGATTTCACATGACTTCTTTTCTCCTGACCTCTCCTTCCAAACTCCTGCAGTGGCTCCAGTATGCTTCCCAGTATTTCCACAGAAGCCAAATTTATCATCCCTACTGCATTAGTACTTAGAGCAGTTTGGTGTAGTCAAGAATACTGAATTATTTCATTGAAAGCAGTAGTTTTGGGTGAAGAAAAATTAAATAATTTCTAGACCAAGTATCACACATTTCTCCCAAAAGACAGCCTCTCCGATCCATGCTGTTTGAAGACAGCTTCCATATCTTTATCCAAAGCAGAAGAATGAGGCACGTGCACACCACATGATAGGTAGCCCTGACTCTTTTTCAAATTCTGAAAGCCAGAGAGCACGCTAAGCATTTTCCATGCAAAGTCTCAAGACAATTCAATTTCCTGAAACCACATGCTCAAGGAGAGAATGCTGCCAGTGTTGTTCAAGAATAAAATACTCTCTGATGCTGAGGTCAAGCCCACCCACCACAG